AGTATCCCCTTTGTATAGAGTAGCTATAAATAGCACCTCTTGTATTGCATCACACACAATATAGCAATATATATCATATTTTCTCCCGTGCCTTCTCACAATTACTATTGTGCCTAAGAAAGAAGGTGCATCTTGTATCAGTGACTACAGGCTTATTAGTCTCGTGGGGAGCATTTACAAGATTATTTCTAAAGTGCTTTCCAACAGATTCAAGAAGGTTCTTGACGTGTCTATTTCGTCCTCCCAGAATGCGTTTGTGGAAGGTAGGCAGATCCAGGATGCCGCTTTGGTGGCAAATGAACTTGTAGACTCCAGAAGAAAAAATAGAGATCCCGGCTTATTATGCAAGTTGGACCTTGAGAAGGCTTTCGACCATGTTAATTGGGAGTTCCTGGATTTTATTATGATGCGGATGGGGTTTGGGACACGATGGAGGAGATGGATCAAGTTCTGCATTTCCTCAGTCAGATTCTCGGTCATGGTTAATAGTAGCCCGTGTGGTTTCTTTGGCAGCTCCAGGGGTCTCAGGCAAGGAGACCCTCTATCCCCCATTCATTCTAGTGATGGATACTGAGTAAAATGATGGATCGTGCGGCCGGCGGAGGCTTCTTGAGAGGATTTTCAGCTCCGATCGGGGTGCCCAGTGCCCGAAGAGTCTCTCATTTGCTTTTTGCGGATGACACCCTGATTTACTGTGATGCCGATATGGATCAGTTGACCTACCTAAAGCAGGTCCTGCAGTGGTTTCACATAGTATCAAGTCTCAAAATGAACCTCGGCAAGTGTGAGATTTTCCCGGTGGGTGAGATTACTAACATTGATGCTTTGTCTTATGTTCTCATATGTAAGGTGGGCTCTATTCCCACTACTTACCTGGGTCTCCCATTGGGCGCTTCGCATAAGGATGCTACGGTTTGGAATTCGGTGATCGAAAGAGTTGAAAAAAGATTAGCAGGCTGGCAGAAATGGTATTTGTCAAAAGGCGGAAAGGAAGTGCTCATTAAAAGCACTTTATCGAGTATGTCCAACTATTACTTGTGCCTGTTGCAAGCTCCTGTGAGCATCACCGAAAAACTGGAGCGGCTTCAAAGGAATTTTCTTTGGGATGCAACGGATGGAACTAGAAAGTATCATCTAGTGAATTGGCAGACAATCACTTCCCCAAAGAAGCGGGGTGGACTTGGAGTAAAAGATCTTAGGGTATTGAACAGAGTTTTGTTGGGGAAATGGCTGTGGAGATTCGGGGTAGAAGAGCATGCTCTATGGAGGGAGGTCATAGTAGAAAAGTACGATTCCACGGGAGGGGGTTGGAGGACCAAGGCAATCACAACACCTTTCGAGTGTGGCATGTGGAGGAGCATCATGAAGAATTGGGAATCCTTCAGTGGCAACATCTCTTACAGGGTGGGAGATGGAAGGAGAATTAGCTTTTGGAATCATAGGTGGTATGGAGAGGATACTCCGAGGGTCTCCTTCCCCGATGTCTTCAGAGTTTCAAACCAGAAGGAATTGATGGTCCAACAGATTTATAAGGAGCATGAAGGGGGGTAGTATGGGACCTCTCATTTAGAAGGAACATGCAAGATTGGGAGATTGCGGAGCTCCAAGATTTATTGACACTGCTATATGGGCAAGACAGGCCCCAGCCATCTTGTGATTCTTGGAGATGGGGTTTGCGTGGCGATGGTCTGTTCATCGTAAAGTCCTTTTACCAGAGTATGTTGGTGAGAGAGGAGGTCTCTTTTCCATACTCCTCGATCTGGATTCCTAAAGCGCCCACGAAGTTGTGCTTTTTTGCATGGCTAGCGGCGAGGGGAGTGATTTTGACTGCGGAGAATCTGCGAAAGAGAGGAATTACACTTGTTAGTTTGTGCTATATGTGTAAAAGCTCCAGGGAAGAAGTTGATCATCTTTTGTTTCATTGCCCTGTGTCCTCGGCTTTGTGGAGGGCGATCCTGAACCTTTTTGGTGTTCAATGGGTGATGCCAAGCACTGTAAAGGAAATGTTATACAGCTGGGCCGGTCTCCGTAGAAGAAGAAAGCAAAAGGCGTGGAAGTTCGCCCCGTTAGCTCTCATGTGGATAGTTAGGAGGAAGAGAAATTGGAGAGCTTTTGAGGGGATTGAGTCTCCTTTTTCACATCTTACAAATAGTCTTTTATCTTTGATCGCTTTTTGGTGCACTCATATAGCCCCTATTTGTATAGAAGATTGGGTGTCTTTTGTAGAGAATCATATTCTGATGTAAATTCTCTACTTTTTGGTATACTTCCTGTATACGGGAGTTCTCTCCCTTTTGATTAATACAATTTACCTTATCAAAAAAAAATACACAGAAATACAAGAAGGCTTTTCTTCTTCACAAAATCTACCGAAGCCTTTTCTTCTTCACAAAATCTACCGTAATCGCAATTGTTTCATTTCAATACAACAGAGAAAATTGTCCCAAAACTTGATTGACTTCTTCATTAACTGAGTGAGTTCCTGAAAATTGGTATCAAAGCTCTCAAACCTGCAACCTGTGGATTAAACAATGGTGGATGGCATTAGGATGCAAACTATGGATGCGAGGATTACTTAACACGAGAAGGTGCTAGCTGAGTTGATGACTGGGCAACAAACTTTGCAGCAGACACAGCTTGGCATTCAAGGAAGCTTGGAATTAATATTGGACAGATTGATTGCATTGGAGAGACCACCAGCAAATCCAAACGGGGGAGGTTTACTTCCTATGTTGATGCTTGAGGCAAGACAGAATAGGCAAGCTAGATTTACAGTTCCACCTCCCAAGCGGGAATTGCCAAGTTTTGAAGGCAAGGAACCAAGGTATAGCTTAGAAAATTCAAGCGATATTTCAACTTGTACAAAACCATTGAGAATTCTAAGGTTAAAGCGGCTGCTCTTTATTTGTTTAAGTAGTTTAAGCCAACCACCTTAAATGGTGCAATAGAACAGGCTAGAATGCAAGAGAAGGCCCTTGAGGCAGTAAGCAAGAAGGACAAAACCATTGTAAAACCCCTTACTCGAACACCGGAGTTGCCTCAACTCACAAGGTTTCAACCATGCCAGCTAATAGAAAAGGCACTTATAGACTGAGTCCTGAAGTTTATGAGTATAGGAAGACTAATCACCTATGTTTCAGATGTGGAGAGAAGTATGGACCAGGGCACCAATATAGAAACAAGCAACTAAACTGTTTGGTTGGGGAGAGTGATGATAGCCCTGAAGCTGTAGTGGACCCGCCTGAGACTCAAACAGGAGATCCTAATTTAGCTGAGATAATAATTGAAGGAGAGGCAACAGGAGATGTTGGAAGCCATTTGTATTAGTGCATTAGCAGGAAATAGTTCTGTCGTGAATTCAATTTTGGTCAAGGTCATTAGCAAGAAAAGGAGCCCAACAGTGTTGGGTTGATTCTGGAAGCACACATAGTTTTATTGATGAGCAAATAGTGAAGGGCACTGGACATGTGTCATTTTAGGGTCCCCCAATGAAGGTGACTATTGCCGATGGGAATTATGTCACGTGCAATGCTAGGTGTGCAGGCTTTAGCTGGAAAATGCAAAATAAATATTTTCAGAAAGATTTGAGAATTATACAATTGGGTGGTTGTGATAGTGTTAGGCAATGATTGGATGAAAAAGTATAATCCCACCAAGTTTGATCATGAAAAGAAGTGTGCTACAATTGGGAGGAAGGGCAACAAGATATGCTACATGCCATACTTGAAGCAGGCAGTTTGAGCTGTATTAATGGGAGTTCTATGGGAAAATTATTGAGGAAGGGGCAAACACTTATGGCTCATTTGTTCATGGTAAGTGTAACCAGCTACCATAACAGGAAGATATAGATGATCCAACACAAGAGGTTCTTGAAAGGTACAAAGAAGTTTTTGCAAAACCTAAAGCATTGCCCCTTCCAGATCAGCAGATTCCACTAAAACCTGATGCTACACTAGTTAGCCTGAGAAAATACAAGTATAATTACTATCAAAATGAGGAACTAGAGAAACAGGTAGCAGAAATGTTGCTCAGTGGGACCATTCAGCCAAGCCAATCCCTTTTTCTTCTCCAGCCTTATCGGTAAAGAAAAAAGATGTCACATGGAGGTTTTGGTAGACTACATGGGGTTAAATGACATTACTATCAAGGATAAGTACCCTATAACCATTGTAGAAGATCTCTTAGATGAATTGCATAGTTCAGTAATCTTTTCCAAGGTGGCCATGGAGTAGGGTACCATCAAATCAAATGATGGTAGAAGATGTGTTCAAAAATGCCTTCAGAACTCACTTAGGGCACTATGAATTCAGGGTGATGCCATTTGGCCTTACAAATGCCCCTGCTACCTTCGAGGCCTTAATGAATCAAGTTTTTTATTTTATTTTTAAGAAAATTTGTGTTAGTTTTCTTTGATGATATTTTGGTGTATAGTCAATACTTAGCAGATCATATAAACCATTTATCCATTGTATTTGAGACATTGAAGAAGAATAACCTTTATGCAAAGAGGACTAAGTGCTCATTTGGGAAATCACAAGTTGAATACCTTGGGCATGTCATTACTGCTCAGGGTGTGGCTACTGATCCTAGCAAGGTACAGGCCATGGTGAACTTGCCTAAGTCCACCAAAATCAAGGCACTTAGGGGATTTTTGGGACTGACTGGCTATTACAGAAAATGTGTGGCTAATTATGGTGCGATTTGCAGACCATTAACAGATCTCTTGAAGAAGGAAGGGTTCAGGTGGAGTGAGGAAGCTGATCAAGCTTTTACAGCTCTTAAAAGAGCCATGTCCACGACCCTAGTATTAGCTTTACCTGATCACGCTCAACCTTTTGTGGTTGAGATTAATGCATGCCATTCGGGCATTGGAGTTGTACTGATGCAAAATGGAAGACCAGTAGCTTATTTTAGCAAGGTGCTAGCTCTAAGGTACAGCGATAAGTCTATCTATGAGAAGGAATATATGGCCTTACTCAATATATACATAACATAAACATAAACAAACCCAGTATGTTCCCACCAGGGGGTCTGAGGAGGGTAGTCTGTACGCAGACCTTATCCCTACCTAACAGGTAGAGAGGTTGTTTCCAATAGACCCTCGGCTCAGGAAGGGTAATGAGAAGAAGTGGATAGCGAGAAAGGAAGAAAGAGGGAAGAGAAAAGAAAAAGGGAAAGATAAAGAATAAGTAGTACCAAATACTAGCAACAAGGAATACATTACCTGAGGCGAACAAAATCACATAACATAATAAAAATCTAAGAATATGAAGGGACATGCGTGCTACTAAGACTATCGGTGAGCAACTAAAAACTACACACTAACCTTCTACCTTAATCCTCGACCTCCACACCCTCCTATCAAGGGCCATGTCCTCAACAAGTTGAAGCAGCGCCATGCCCTGTCTAATCACCTCTCTCCAATACTTCTTAGGCCTACCTCGACCTCTTCTCAAACTCGCCATGGCCAACCTCTCACACCTCCTAACAGGGCATCAATGCTTCTTCTCTTAACATGTCCGAACCATCTCAGCCTCGACTCTCGCATCTCATCCTCCACGGAGGCTACTCCCACTCTGTCTCGGATAACTTCATTCTTAATCTTATCTCTCCTGGTACACCCATACATCCATCTCAACATCCTCATCTCTACTACTTTCATCTTCTGCACGTGGGAGTTCTTGACTGGCCCAGCCCCATACAGCATAGTCGGTCGAACCACCACTCTATAAAACTTGCCCTTAAGTCTTGGCGGCACGTTCTTATCACATAAAACACCGGAAGTGAACCTCCACTTTATCCATCCCACTCCGATGCGGTGTGCAACATCTTCGTCAATCTCTTCGTTACCTTGGATAATAGACCCGAGATACTTAAAACTCGCTCTCTTGGGGATAACTTGAGCATCAAGCTTTACTTCTACGTCTACTTCATGGGTCCTGTCACAGAATTTGCACTCCAAGTATTCTGTTTTGGTTCTACTCAATTTGAAACCTTTATACTCCAAGGTCTGTCTCCAAACCTCCAACCTCGCGTTAACTCTGCTTCGTGTCTCGTCAATCAACACTATATCATCGACAAATAGCATGCACTAAGGCACCTCTCCTTGGATGTGTCGCGACAGTACATCCATCACTAAGGCAAATAAAAACGGGCTAAGAGCCGATCCCTGGTGCAACCCCATCGCCACAGGGAAATGCTCCGAGTCACCACCCACAATCCTCACTCGAGTCTTAGCATCAACATACATATCCTTAATCATTCTAATGTACGCTACCGGAACGCCACTAGCCTCCAAACACCTCCACAGGACCTCCTTCGGGACTTTATCGTACGCTTTCTCAAGGTCAATAAACACCATATGCAAGTCCTTCTTCCTCTCTCTGTACTGCTTCACTACTCTCCTAACCAGATGAATTGCTTCCGTAGTCGAAAGCCCCGGCATGAATCCAAATTGATTCTCGAAAATAGACACACACCTCCTCACCCTGGCCTCCACCACCCTCTCCCAAACCTTCATAGTGTGACTCAACAGCTTGATACCCCTATAATTGTTACAATTTTGGATATCACCCTTGTTCTTGTAAAGCGGAACCATCGTACTCCACCTCCATTCTTCAGGCATCTTCTTCGTCTTAAAAATAACATTAAACAGCCCAGTGAGCCACTCCTAAACTTGCTCGCCCTGCGCTCTTCCAGAATTCCACCGGGATTTCGTCTAGCCCCGTCGCTCTGCCCCTGCACATCTTACGCATCGCCCCTTCCACCTCCTCTACCGTAATCCGCCTACGGTACCCAAAATCCCGCCGACTTTCGGAGTGCTCCAACTCACCTAACACAATGCATCTATCCCCTTCCTCGTTCAACAGTTTAGGGAAGTATGCCTGTCATCTTCTCCTAATAAGTGCCTCGTCCATCAATATTTTGCCATCCTCGTCCTTGATGCACTTGACTTGGTCTAAGTCATGGGCCTTCATCTCCCTCACCTTGGCCAACCGGTACAAATTCTTGACCCCGCCTTTGCCCCCGAGCTCCTCGTACAAACGAGCAAACGCCACATTTTTAGCCGTTGTAACTGCTAACTTTGCCTCTTTCTTTGCCTTTTTGTAACACTCCCGATAAATTCTTTTTTCCTCCTCGTTTGTACTCTCTGCTAGCTTCAAATAAGCAGTTTTCTTAGTTTTCACTTTACCTTGTACCTCTCCATTCCACCACCAGTCCCCTCTATGACCCCCGGGAGAGCCCTTCATGACCCCTAAGACCTCTCTAGCAGCTACCCTAATGCAATTCGCAGTCGTGACCCACATACTAGATGCGTCCCCCCTACTCATCCAAGCCCTCATAGCCAACAACGTCTCCCCTAACTCCTGGGCTTTGTCTTTGGTCAAGTTACCCCACTTGATCTTAGGTTGCATGCAAAACGCCCTCTTCCTCCTACTCCTCTTGATCTCCAGGCCCATAATTAGGAGTCTATGTAGGGTCGTGAGGTGCTCACTTGGGATGACCTTGCAATCAATGCACAGACCTTTACCGCATTTCCTGCAGAGAGGATAATCAATCTGAGTCTTGTCCATTGAATTCCGGAAAGTGACCAGGTGCTCTTCCCTCTTCGGAAAACTCGAGTTAGCTATAACCAAATCAAAAGCCCTAGCAAAATCCAACAGTGAATTACCTCCCTCATTCCTATATCCAAAACCGAACCCGCCATGCACATCATCATAACCCCTAGCACTAGCCCCAATATGGCCATTGAAATCTCCGCCAATGAACAGCTTCTCTGTGTGCGGATACTATGCACCATCTCGTCCAAATCCTCCCAGAATCGCTTCTTGACCTCCTGGTCCAAACCTACCTGAGGAGCGTATGCACTAATCATGTTTACAGTAAACCCACCAACTACAAGTTTAATACTCATCAACCTATCATTTACCCTCCGAGCCTCGGCCACGAGCTCCCTGAGGTCCCTGTCTACTAAAATACCTACCCCATTCTTACCCCCAGAGCTTCCTGAGTACCATAGTTTAAATCCGTCTATATCCCGTGCCCTAGTACCCTTCCATCTAGTCTTTTGAACACACGCTATGTTGATCTTCCTCTTCTGAAGAATCTTAACTAACTCTATAGACTTCCCCGCCAACGTCCCAATGTTCCAAGACCCAACTCTCAGCCTAAAGGCTTTCTTACCCCCTTTCNCTATAAGCAAAAGATATCAGGTAAACACTACCACTAAGAACAAGTAGTGGGAACGAAGGACTACACGCTAGGAACCCGAGAGCTAAAAACAACTCAAAGGCGATACTACGAGAACAGTAACGCGAGCAGGCACTAGAACAGTGAATATACCACGTCTAAGAAACTACCCCTATGCAAACAAGGAATTAAAAGGGATAGATGAAACCTTAAGCTTAAAACACTAGTAGAAAAGAGAGAAAAACAAGCAAATACTGTCTACTAAAAACAATCGATCCAACTACGGGTTACCGGCAAGGCAACCAAAACTAATAGATGTGTACACAAACAAAAATTGTCGGCAAGGCAACGGTAAATAGATGTGCGCAAATACAGTTCAAGAAAGATGGAACCTGGATTACAGTCGGGGATGTTCGGTGAATGTTGGTACCTCCCGAACCTGTGTGCTCCGGCAAGGTGAACTGGGAAACTGCTCGGCGATCGGCTAAACTAGTGCTAGGGTTTGTGAACTGGGATGAAAATTGTGTACTGATTTCTAGACCCCAAAAACGAAAAAGATACTTTTCTTTTTCCTAAAACCGAAAAAGAAATGAAAGAAACCTGAAGAATGAATTATAAATCAAATGCTATCGATATCCACAACAATCCAATTCAATCAAATTTTTTTTTGTCCAGATTTTTCCGGTGACTGGAAACGCTAACGAAATATTTTTCCGAGTCAGTTGATGAGAACGAGAATCTTTAAACGCCAGTGCCGTACGCAATTTTTTCAAACTGTTCAGTGCGCCTATAGCTTTAACCGAATGAGAACTCCAAAAATAACAAAAGGGAAATAAAACAAGAAGAATATATCATTAACCAAAGTCAAATGGGGTCCCCGGCGGAGTATTCGCCGAAAAACTCTAGTGGATATAAAATAAGATACCGGAGTATCAAATTTCTAATGGGGTTTCTTTTAATGTACATAAAACAATTATTAACAATAAAATGGTTGTTTAAATTAAAATCTGAAATTAAGAAGATATATAAAGAAAGAGAGAAAGAAGAATTACCATTAAAGCTGATGAAAAAATTGAGTTTTATGTTGCTGAAGATTCTTCTACGGAGAGACTATAACAAATTGTATAATGAAAATGGTTTAAGAAATTAATACCTAAAAATTCGAGGGTTCCGGTCGACGGTGAATTTGAAAGGAAAATGAATGGTGACGACGTATACGAGAACAATTTGATACGACTCAATCTTCAATTAATGAAAATCAAGAGTACATATGCTGTAGATAAATGGAGACACTACCTTCAATATAAGCATTTTGTGGTAAGGACTGATCACCATAGCCTGAAATACTTGTTAGAACAGAAGGTTACCTAAGCCATTCAATAGAAGGGGTTGATTAAGCTCTTAGGCTTAAACTATGAAGTCCAGTACAAAAGAGGGGCGGAGAACACAGTGGTTGTTGCACTTTCTAGATAGTTTGAGACCTTATCTGCTGAAGTTGATCCCCACGCAACACTTAATGCCATCAGCACGACTGTGCCAATTTGGGTGCAAGAAATTGGTGCAAGCTATGAAGAGGATGCACTAGCTGATGAGTTGATTGCACAACTCACAGTTGATCTTCAAGGGCCACAGATCTGGTAGTAGTCTTGAGGAGAAAGGGCAAAATTTACATTGGGGCCACTGGCACTCTCAGGCAACAACTGATTAAGATCTTCCATGGTTCTTCAGTAGGAGGGCATTCAGGACAACTAGGGACCTTTAAGAGATTGGCTTAGTTGTTTTACTGAATGTGGTATTTGTCAAAAGAATAACAGCTTGTTTGGATGGTTGTTACCTGTTGTATTATCATATCATTAAATCCGCCGTTACGTAACGATAAAAAGTGTCACTTTATGGAACAACCGATTTGGTGTGGTCGCATCATTACCTTATTTTTTCCTCTCATCTTGCCCTTCCTTATTATTAAATAATTCTATTTTATCTTTTAACCAACCTTTTTATATAATAATTCCACCCCATACCTTATTTTTTCTTTATAATATTGCAAGTTTTTTCTTCATTGTTCCAAACATTGTATATATTAAAATAATACAGTACAATACAATACAATACAATATTATACGATATATTATGAAATGATATATAACAACCATCTAAACATTGTGGTAGTGTTGGATCTTGTACAATACTGACGGAAAGAGAGATAACGCAAGACAGTCGTGAAAAGTCGCCGGAAAACTGAGGCACGGTGACTCTGGCTGTATTCTGGCTCAGGGAAGCATCTCACCACCACTGCTCTGCCAGGACGGGGGGGCCGCTTAGCGATCCTACAAGATATAGGCGGCTAGTTGGTAAATTAAATTACCTCACAGTGACTAGATCTGATATTTCCTTTCATGTAAGTGTTGTAAGTCAGTTTATGAATTCTCCCTATGATAGTCATTAGGATGCAATCGTCGGTATTCTTCGGAATGTAAAGTCAGCTCTAGGCAAAGGGTTATTGTTTGAGGATCGAGGCCATGAACAAATTGTTGGGTACTCAAATGTTGATTGGGCAGGATCACCTTCTGATAGACGTTCTACGTCTTGATATTGTATTTTGGTAGGAGGTAATTTGGTACCTTGGATGAGCAAGAAACAGAATGTGGTTGCTCGGTCTAGTGCAGAAGCAGAATATCGAGCAATGGCTATGGCAACATGTGAACTAGTTTGGATCAAATAGTTGCTCAAGAAGTTGAAATTTGATGAAATCAGCCAGATGGAACTTGTATGTGATAATCAAGATGCCTTTCATATTGCGTCAAATTCGGTGTTCCATGAGAGAACTAAACACATTGAGATTCTCTCATGGACATTGCTACAAAGTTTGTGAAGTCGAATGATCAGCCTGCAGATATTTTCACCAAGTCCTTCACTGATCCTCGTATTAGTTACATATATAACAAGCTCGGTACGTATGATTTGTATGTATCGGCTTGAGGGGAGTGTTAAATAATTCTAGTTCCATATGTAGCAGGAGTAGAACATGTATTATATATAGGGCTCATTATATCATTGTTAAAAATCAATAGAATAATTTTCTAGTGTATTATTTCTCACACTTATAAGATGTTGCGGCCTCCTACTTCTAAGGTCCATCCTGTTTTCCACATTTCATTGTTGAAAAGAAAATTGGCTCTAGGGCGGTCGTCCAATCAGTCTTACCTATGACCAGTGGAGAAGGCCAATTCCTAGTGAAGCCTGTTGCAATATTGTAAAGACAACTTGTTCAAAAAGGAAATGTGGCTGCTGTTAAGGTGCTTATCCAGGGGTCGAACTTACCTCCTGAGGTTGCTACATGGGAGGACCATGAGTTTATCAAGTCCAATTTCCAGAGTTTGATACTAATCCTTGAGGACAAGGTTTATATGAAGGAGAAGTGTATCTCATGACCTGAGAAATGCAGCAATAAACGAAATGTCGCTAGGGGAGTTCGAAGCTGGGAGGGAAGTACAGGAATAACTAACGCTAAATCGACGGCCGAGATTAAATTTCACTTAATGAGCTTCAAAGGATCAAAAGCTGCCAGCTGGACGAGTTTGTTATAAAGCTCAGCAAACCAGTCGAGCAGAGTATCGCTGAACCAACGGGTATTTGCCCAATTCTCTCTCTTTCTTCTCAAATCTCATCTCCTTCCTTCTCTTCTAATCCTTTCTCTTCTTCTCTTCTACAGATCTGCAGCTCGCTATGGAATCTCGATTAGCTTAGTTTCCATTTTTCTTACTAGTTTTCCATCCAGTTATTTAGTTTGTAATCGCAACTGCTTCATTTCAATACAACAGAGAAGATTGTCCCAAAACTTGATTGACTTCTTCATTAACTGAGTGAGTTCCTGACAGAACACCTCAGTTGAAAGTTTAAGGTGTTAGGGAGAAAATTTTGTATTATTTATTTAGGTCTACCAACAAAATTCACTGAATATAGGAGCTTCCAACAAAATTCACTGAATATAGGAACTTACAAGGACCATACTGTTTAAACACCAAAGCAATTTTAAATTGTTTATTGCAAGTTCACATGCATGTAAGGGGTAATTTCAGGCTAAGCTGAAGATTTAGTTGTGCATACCCATATATCCTTATTGGATTTGCACTTGCAGAGACTTACCTGATTAGTTTTGAATTCATTTCTCTGCATTCTTTTAACTCTCCTGCAGCGATTCTTTCCTGCATTTGGGATGCAGTTCGCACATGTCAAATGATACACAACAGTCACCTTATCACTAATCCGATCTTCTTCTCTTGAAGTAGGTACAGGCTTCCTAGGATACCATGGCTAATTCCAAAAACTTGACCCAGAGTAAATTTCAGGAAAAAGAACAGATGTATTGAAAGAAAAAACAAAACAAAAAAGTCATCAGAGTAAATTTGACCTGTTCACATAACTCTGGCATTTCAGCAACCAGTGTTCCAGTCTTCATGTTCCCATAGAAGTTTTTAAACCTAAAAAGACAGATGCAAGATTAAATTGCCATAGAATAGAGAGCGTCCATCTTTGGCAAGTCAAATGTTCATAGTAATTACCATCTGAGCTGCTTAAGGAGGCTAATGTTCTCATGTGCAAGTCGAGTCGATTCTGGATTTTGTTCAGTTCTAGCCCAAAGCAGCCGAATCTCGTCTTTTAAAGCATTATTTTCTTCCAGGATAAAGCAGTCTGCGGAGATTATTCCATTTCCAAGTGATTCCAATCGGTCAATTTTTTCTTCTCTAAGTTTCATTATGTCTTTACTAAGTTGAACCTCTTCTTCTTGCTGATGAACCTGCAAAACACTCCTTCACTTTTATTTAACATGACTACTATATGCATAAATATCAATTCACCTAAGGTGCACTTTCTAATAACACAAGGTGCATAAGAGATGTCACAGTTATTCATACCAAATGTTTCATCGCTTCAATTTCAGCCTCTAATCTCCAAACTTCCGTCGCAGCCAATTTTTCTCTCCTCACGGCATTGAGCAAAGTTGATTTTAGATAATGTAACTGCCATTGAATTCATGGGACAATATTATATATGGTCTTGATGCTAATAGACAAATCACGAAAGGAGTAGAAGACTACTGAGTCACTTCTTCCATGTTGTGGACCACAATCAGTGTGCAGATTCAATTCCTCAGACAGGTCAAAGCTCTCAGGAAACTCGCACAAGCTGAATTGATCTAAACATGGGACACTTTCTGGAAAATAATTCTCCGTTCCCTGATGCTTCAGTAGAAAGGACAACTGACCCTGTTCAACAAGTTTTCAAGTATGCATGAGAGCATTGAATATTTTACACGTTTCATACAACACAATATTATACACCTTTAATAGAGCATGTTACATGCCTTTAGTTGTTGGATTTGCTGCTGCAATGCTGAAACATCACCTGAAGCATCTTCATTTATTTTAGCCTAGCAAAATAAAGGTCAAAACTTAAAAAACTAAAGATTTTTGATTTCCAAACAAAAGTTAGCATAGCATAGAAAATATAGCTTGGAATTTTACTACAGAATTTTGGTTTTTCCAAACAAAAGTTTGCATATATCTGGAAGTTCATACATTGTTCTGAATAAGTTTTGCACGCTGAGCAAACTTTAGAGTGCTTAGTGTCTCACTGGCAGAACTGCAGAGAATAAAAATTAGTTATTACAACACTACTATTGCATTTTCAAAATCACAACAGAGATTATCCTGTTACCAAATAGATGGGCTGACGGTGGCGATTACTGCTGTTTTCGAGTTCCCACCCAGAGAATCCTACATCCAGGGAGGAAGAAAAGATAGCCTTCTCTTATTGAGAAATTCAATAATTTAACAGTCCAGTATTTTTTATGCCTAATAGTCATGAGATACTTCTCACCTGAAGGAGAAAAGTTAGCCTAGAGTCCCTGTATGGAACGTGTCTATGTTTGCCGTGTGCCAAATCCACCAAGGACATGATGACGAGTCTGCATGCGCAGACGAGGCAAAAATTTAGAACAAAACTTAGCAAAGTAGGACAGCATAAGGCTGGCTTGAAGATGACTTCAAAATATAGTAGAAAAGAGATCAGTAAGACAAAGCATAAGAGCATTTTACAACACAGGATAATGAGACCCTGCAGTCTAAAATGTTCCTTTTGTAATTTAAACCAGCTCCTGCAACTTGTTAACTTCCAGCGGTTCAAATAAACTCATATTACTTGCTAAGTTACTCCGTTCACAGAGAATTATGCAAAAGATACGAATATATTCATTATCATTTAGAAGATTAAGTATATGCTTTACTTTCTAGTTTTAGGATCATGAGAACGCTCAAACATAGAAACTGCAAATCACATTAACATATAGCAAAAGACGTGCAATCCAATTTAGGCCTCAAAGTTAAAGAACAGACTAAACTCTATGAGCAGACAAACTGCCCAGAAAACCACAAGTCATCTATTGTCACTCTGGAGATACCCTCAAAACATAAGATAGTTTACTTTAAAGTCATATACGTTATTTCACTTAAAATCACATATGCTCTGTAGTTTGCTGAGTCAAGAAAACGCTACCAACTAAGCATTAAGCAAATCAGTGTGTTATCCATAAATACGTGAAATTTATCTTACAGAAACTCAAATGAATAATGTCATTGGCTGTTATGATGTCTTTGCTTTGTACCTGTGAGAATGCACGGGAGAAAAATCTATTTTTTTAATAATGATACAATGAGCCCTATATATAATACATATTCTACTCTTACTACATATGGGACTTGGACATATTCTACTCCTACTACATATGGGACAAGGACATATTCTACTCCTACTACATATAGGACTAGGACTATTTACACATAACTATCTAACACTCCCCCTCAAGCTGGTGCATACAAATCATATGTACCGAGCTTGTTACATATGTAACTAATACGAGGACCAGTAAGGGACTTGATAAAAATATCTGCAAGTTGATCATTCGACATACAAGACCACTAGACTCCCACTGAGCACCAAAACCAAGTGGTTGCTGAAAAAACAAAAGTTGACCAAAAGGTCGCCGGAAAAATTTGATAATAGTGAGACTAAGCCGAATTCCACACTACAAAATAGGTTCTAAAACACCACTAGAAAACAGAAACTTTTTTGCAAATTACTATTCACACCGGAAAATCCGGAAAAGTGCACTGTTCACGCCAGAATCACTAGACGAGTAAGTTGTCCTGAAGAAGTTGTCAAAATATGGTCGGAATGGCTCACACGTGCCGAAAAAGTTACTGTAGCTCGCCGGAACTCTAGTTCTGGCGGCGCGTGGAGGCGCGTGACTTTCTGTCGGGGTTTTGTCGCCTGACTTTTCCGAACAAGATGGTAGTATTGGTTTTCGCACAACACTTACCGATGAGGAGATAACGCAAATCAATCTTGAGTCGTCAACCGGAAAAACGCATGGTGACTGACTTTTCTGTTCCGATGGGATTGGAATTTCTAGGGTTTAGTCGCACACGGGTTTCGGATCTGATGGTGGTAGTGGTATATGCACAGTACCGTTGTAGCAGTGATAAACTCTTGGAACAAGACGAAGTTGCCGGAATATTGCACGGCGATAGATCTTTCTTCCCGGAATGACGCACAACGATAGTTTTCTTACTGAAACTTTGATACCATATGAGAATGCACGGGAGAAAAATTTATTTTTTTAACAATGATACAATAAGCCCTATATATAATACATATCCTACTCCTACTACATATGGGACTATGACATATTCTACTCCTGCTACATATGGACTAGGATATATTCTACTCATACTACATGTAGCACTAGGACATATTCTACTTTTACTACATGTAGGACTAGGACTATTTACACATAACTATCTAACAGTACCAATAGAGTCTAAGGCAAAGTGGTTCGGATGCCTACTTTGCCTACTTGACGAAAGGGAACGAACAACGTTTCAATTCCGGGTTTATGGATTGGATTCAGTCAGCCTCACGACATAACTAGAGTGAGGCTTTGGATCTTGGCAAACGCTTCTCCGAAGGCGACCCTCTCCAGTTTCCGACTGTTCCGTCATTGAAGTAACCTTTCATCGCCCCACGAAACGAAAGGAGTCACTATCAAATAGCTCGCCCTATTGACCAAAGGTGCGGTCAGCCCGGTAACTAGGAAATAGGTTTGCCCTTGAATTGAAATGAAGAGGTCAGAAAGAAGGGAGTAGGCCTCCAACTAACTAAATGTTGTGTGAGAAAGCATGGGAGAAAAATATATGGAATAGTAATTTCCAAAAAAGTTTCCGTTTTCTGGTGGTGTTTTAGAACCTATTTTGTAGTATGGAATTCGGCTTAGTCTCATTATTTTCAAATTTTTCCCGCGACCTTTCAGCCAACTTCTGTTTATCGGCAACCACTTGGTTTTGTTGCTCAGGGGGAGTCTAATGGCCTTGTATGTCTAATGATCAACTTGCAGATATTTTCACCAACTCTCTCACTGGTCTCCGTATTAGTAATATATGTAACAAGCTCGGTACATATAACTTATATGCACCTGCTTGAGGGAGAGTGTTAGAATTAATTTATGTATAGTATCTCATATTGATATAGAAGGCTTTAGGTATATGTAAACATTGTATATAAATACGGCTATTGTAATACCTAACATACATAAATAATATATTTTTTCTGTGTCATTATTTCTCACAATAGGAACGAGTGTTCGATATAGGGGATAGGATCCATCTGCTCTTCATCTCACAAAAAAAAAAAGATTTTGCATCTTTGGATACTCAACTTAATGAAGAGCAAATTGCATTCTAGGAATAGCTCTTTTCTCTAGTGGGAAAATTAGTGTTTTATATAACCAACCCCAGCTTGTTTGAGATTACAGCACAATTGATTGATTGATATATGTACATCTGATGTAGGGCTTATCATAATTCACAGCAAGATGAGAATTTGCTATGAGAATTAGCAATTCAACGAGGATCACTAATTGGACGATGTTTATCTTATTTCATAATGTTTCTTGGATCTTGTGACTACTCAGAATTCATGAGTGCAATGTGCCACTATTAAGAAACTCAATTGTGCATGCTATGTTAAGTCCACCCCCATAATTCTCAGTTCAAATTTATGCCAATTTTGGATAGAAACTTTATCCACGATTTCAGTCACTCAAAGGCAATCCACAAAGCTTTTTCTTGCAAATACTAGAAATTGTTTGTGCATATATTTTGCTTAATCAATCATTAATGATCCAGTAAAGATTCATAATTGGACTTCCCGCATTATCAAAAGAAATCTAAAGCATCTTATGATAAACTAAGAATAGTATTATGATGAGCATGAAGAATACATGATCCTGGAGGAGAAAATCAAATAATGCAAAGTGTCATCCGCAGTATTCATCCAGCAGTGTTTGGGGGAAATTCAAAAGAATCAACAAAACAAATAGGCATGGCACAGTAATTTCAGCCCTAATTTACTCAAGAATATCTTAAGATCATCATTACCCAAGAGTTGATAAAGACTTGTTTATATTTGCAGCTTCTTTCAAACGGTCTCCTTCTGCGCCACAGCTTTTCTGCCTAAATAACCGGAAATTGTGTAAGCATGAAAACGCAATTGAATGAGATTATATGCTATTGAAGTCAAAAATTACCTTTCAGAACCAGCTAGATCAACTAAATTTAACCTTCCAAATCTGAAGTGCTTCATAGAGTCTTTCTCCCAGCAACTCTCTATGTTGCATGTGAAAACACTGTGAGATCGACTGCTCTCAGCATTCATATGAGTAGCTGCCATTTTTCTATTTGCGGCCCCCTGGGGAAGACAAGATCATCAAAACAATTTTCTCATGTGGAAAGTGCTTAGAGATGAAGGTTCAGCATTAAGTTTCACCTGTAACAAAATTCTGAGAATGTCATCAACAGAACTAACGCTAACTTCAGTGAGGTTTTCAACGTATACACCTTTCTTCAAGTCTTCTCTGAGCTATCATATATCAGCATATGTAGTGACTGATTCCATATGAATGTGCAACACATCAGCAATTGTCATCAAACAAAATTGAACTTACCAGCAAATTAGTCGATGAAGGCTCAAGGAGGTCCGTTATCTGCTCATTATATATCTCTAAGAAAGAACACTTGCAACTATACTTCAATCTCTCATTCTTTCGATCGTCCTCTTCCTAAAAGGCATTAGAATAAGGAAATAGCGCTTAAAACTTGTCACGCAAAGTAACAGCTAAATCATCTTTTTCATATCTAACCTGTCTAATTCGAGTAAACAAGTACTCGAATATACGAGGAGTGATCCCACATTGTTCGCTTAGCTTTCCACCGATTTCGCCTATGTCACCCATCATTGTGTAAGTCTTTCCACTTCCAGTCTGCAAGAATGGAATAAATTCAAAACCTGTAAATCAGTAATTGGCTATTTTGAATTATATCAAGCACCAAGAATTAGCACTGTCCCACACCTGGCCATATGCAAACATGCAGCTATTATAACCGGACATGCAGTTATCCACCATGGGCAACCCTGCAGCTTTGAAAAGCTTTTCCTGCTCAAAGCTCAAGAAACAGTTTAATTAACCTTGAGTTATCTCATCCTACTCCACATATGGTCCATTCATCCTTTCATAATGCAAATGCATACAGATACAAATTACAGTATTTCGAACCTGCGATATAGTTTCACATGCAACATGATCAAAGGTGAATCTGGTTTCAGGATGACCAAGCCAAACCAGTGTCTGTGCAGTCTCTTGCCTTAAGCATCTACCATATCCATGTAATACTTTCTCCGTGTTATTTAATGGTCTAACACGAATCAATACCTACATGAATAAAGTACTCACTTTCATTGGTCTTGTTAAGAGAAAAAGGACCTGAGCCAAACTCAATCCATCAGCAAGTTCTATGAATGTCCAAGACCATGTATGAGACCATTGACTATACTCTCTATCAATGTGTAACTCTAATAATTCAAATTGAAAAACAAAAAATTTTGATGTAGCAAGCATAATTGGTGAAGAGAACCTGCACATTGTGATCATTCCAGAAAGAAGGATCCTCCGACAGCTCAAAGTGGACAGAAGGCTCAGAGTTGATGAAAAGAGTTCCTTTTGAATTTCTAGAAGATAATGAAGTAGTCCCTTTACCTCCAGTATGGAGAGCATGCCTAGCCCCGGAGGGTGTAAACACATTACAAATTCTCCTAACTGGAGTAGTTTGAGCTGAATTGGGTTCAGAATGAGCTTTTCCTCTAACTCCATTTCCATCTCGAACAGCTCGGGTTGTTTCAGATTTAGTGGGATGGAGGTCTTGAGCTAGGGCCAGACATTGAGATGGGTCGGTGATGGAATTAAGAGGCGTTCGAGTAGGAGTAAGGAAGGGAAATTCGGTATTGTCAAAGTCGTTCTCATTTGATTCGAACTGGGTTCGAGCAGCAGCGGATCTGACAGATGAAGAAGAAGCATCTTTGGACATAGCTCGCAACTTTCAAATGTCAAATTAGACTAGGGTTTTTGTAGGACAATGAAGATGAATGGAGTAGCCTTTGAATATGGGAAAATAAGTGCAGTGTGGCAGAAAGAGAGAGCATTCCCCATTCAGAATCAGTGGTGGCCTCGTGGGGTCTGTAAGGTAAAGGCGCAAGCCCGCCCCTTTTCAAATTCAATTATGGATACCGCTTCCACTCTTTTCATTTTATTGTCTCCTTTTCATTTGCATATGATAAAAGTAAAAACTTGTGAATCTAGATTCTAGAATCTATTAAAAGCGTTAAACTGTTAATTTCAATTTCTTTTTATATATTTAAGTCGAAACAGTCAAAATTTTACTATTGATAAGGGTTATATTGCAGGCCCCTTAAGTAATAAACATGAATAAATTTTCAAAAGAAAAGAATTAATGTTAAAGTTTGATTGCAGGCTGAATACATCAATGGCGTCGCAAACTTGACAAAAAAAATTCATGTTGGCATGTCATCTTTCCTAGTATCTATTAAACATTTCATGTTTGCCGAAATTGTATCAATTAAACAGCTTTTCAAATCTCTTAACATTTAAAAAAATGTGTCGTTAATCGTCTATGACATGGCAAGTGAAATAAATAAGTGAAAGGCATTTGACTCTCCCTATAATACCTCAGCCTCATTTTTCTTTCTTTTTCTTTTTTTCCTTTCTTTTCCTCTCTTCTGTAATTTAGTGTAAAAACTCATAAATTACCATATGTAACAAGAATCAATTCGGGCTTAAAAGACCAAGTACGGATCAAAGGAACTTAAGGCGAAGTATCAGGCTATGCATGGTGCGTAGCCAATAAAAAAAAGAGCAAAGGAAGAGACCTTCAGGTCTCCTATGCACAGACATGAGCCTCCTACGCATTGAGAGAACCTCCTATGCGTGAGAGGAGCCAACCCAAGCACGCCCAAATCAAGCCACGCACGGAGAAGCGCTCACCTATGCACGTTGGACCACGCTTATGTAAGGCCAACACTACCTACGCAACCCCCCCCCCCACCC